GTGACAATTTATGGATTATAAAATTCATAAATTGTCCTACCTCTTGGAGATGGGGACTGTGCGTTTGTTTACCCACAGATACAAAGGCTTACAAGCAGAACATGGCAACTGCTCTATAACTTTTTTTTTCTCGCTGCGAGGGACACAAGTGTAAAACGGGTTTTTACACTTAAAACACACAACAACAGTTCAAACGTATAACTTTCCAGCCTGCAGATAAAGTTTCTTAACTTTCTCATCGGCAGACAACAAAAAATTATTTTTTCAAACTTATCAGCGGTGCGAGAACGCGCATGCATGAACGAGAAGGTTTAGTTCTCCTGGGGAGACGAAATTCAACACAACACCGCTAACGGTCAAACTGTATCACAGCAGAGAGTGGTTGCTTTCATGCAGTTTAGGTCAGCGCTGCGGGCGTGCGTACGTGCACACAAACTGACCAGCTTGGTTCGGCTCGCTTCTGATCATAATCACTGAATACACAACTCAACTGCTCGCTCACAAGCATTGAATATGACGTGGCTTCACCTCACGAGTTAAATCAAAACGAACAGTTTCCAGACTGTCGTAACAACAAAGGGTGGACTCACAACCTTCAGATTATCTAACAGACAAGCAAACAAACACAATTTACCTTTTTAAATCGCAGAAAGTTTGTGAGCTAAACCACAGAAATGCGTCTTGGCAGACGACAACAATGCAGCAACGAATGTGAACAGCAGTAACCACGGTCGTTTCTGGAAAGGTTTCTCATAATAAGAGTTTGTTACGCTCATGCAGAGGTGAAATTGTTTCAAACGTCCTTTTTTGTGTCTTAATAAAAGAATTAATGACTTTCCAAGTCTCACATGGATGGAACCAAAATATGTAGCGGTAATTTGGGTATATTAATGTGACAATTTATGGATTATAAAATTCATAAATTGTCCTACCTCTTGGAGCACCACTTCCCTTTTATTTAGTATTATTATACAGCAAAGAGAAGAGAAAACTGTTAGCTTTATTATCATTCAGTCTCTATTAATTTATTACCCAAATTAATAATGAGTTCTTTTCTTAGAAGAATCAATAATACCTTATCAAGACACAGAAAATTAGACGTTGTCTCATGTTGGCCAGTTCTCCACGGGTAATTTATTCACAGATTAAATGTATTTACAGCTAATGGCGAGTATGAAATGATGACATTCTGAACCAGAAGAATACAGAAATATTTGAGCAATGAGTGAATAACAAAACAAGCAAACAGACAAACAAACAACTAAACAAACAACAAATTAAACACTAAAATGGGTTTTGAGGCTGGAGTGAGGTGAGGGGAGTTTGCTTTAGCTGAGAATTTAACTAAGGGATCCTAGTTAAATGAGGGAGAGAAATCGTTTAGATGATCAAATCTCATACAAAGATAAAAAATCAAATTAAGCCTGAGCACCTTTTGTCACCTGAACAAATGTTCACTTTTACCCTTTTGTTTCTGCCATGTGGGTACCAGGAGGGAAGTCAGCGACTGAAGGTCATCTCTGGGGGTCGTTTCCCAAGTAGGCTCTTCATACAAGCTGGATGACAGGTGGTTTGCCTGTAAACTCGACTGGTCCCGGTGGTCAGAGAATGGTAATTCTCTGGTGACGACATAGTCCTGTCTCCTTAGGCTGCTGCAAGGCTTGGTAATTTGATCTCAACTTCGTAGAGAAAAATGTACTAAAAATTACGCATGAGTTAAAATTAGCTTATTGACTTCTATTAAAATCAAGCTCAGGTGTTGAGCCGACGTGAAACGGTGGCTGTGCGTCCAGACCAGCAGGAGATGCAGAGCCCGGGTCCTGGCCAGCCATTGGGAGGGGCTGTCAGGGTCGGTCTCTGCTGAAGCTTCTGAAGTCTTTTGCTGCTGATATTCAAATCTTCCAACTCTTACTTTCTGACTAATTTGGGAGTGTGCTGACTTTTTTAAAACCTTTGTTTGGGGCGGTGTTAAGTTGTTAGTTGGCCAATAAAAATGTTACACTTTATACAGGAAAAAGGTCTCAGTGAGTCAAATCTGTTGGAGGTAAATTTTACTTTGAAAACAAAGAAAAGGGTGTGTTCTAGTTTATCTTACATTTGCCTAAAAAGGAAGAGAGGAGACATCTGGGTTTTGCCTCAGGGATAAAATTATCTCAGTTAATTATTAAAATTCAAGTCCTAAGTTTCTAAGGATCAAATCATGGAATAAAACACGCATCTTCTTCAGGAAAACATTTCATCAAAACAATTAACACCACACAGTTATTATACGGAGTCCTTAGTGTTTAAATACTTAGTTAAAACGAGAACATAGTAGAGCTTCAATGGGTTTTGTTCTTTCTGTAAAAAGAAACAGGTAAATCACATTTCTTTAAGATATATGAAAACAGACAGTTGGATAAAACATTCAATCTTGTTCTCTTTTTTTATTTAATCAAGAATGGTAGATTCCTTTGTTCTCAGTCATGCTGATGATTCTTGTTAAAGGAATTTATGGTCCCTTTGAAGAGGAACAAACCGTCTTGTCCTTATAAGGTCACTCGAAACTTGTGGGGGTTCGAGAATGTGGCAATTCTTATCAATTAAGTGTAAGGTGTCAGGAAGTCTAGTGGGTGAAGGTGTGAGAGATGTTAATTCAAGCCATAAATGAAGTTCCATGCAAAATCCTAGGAATAGTCTTTCAGGTCAAAAGTGGGGGTTTCTTTCCTTTCTGAGCCATTGTCATAGGAACAAGTGAAATCTAATCAGAAATGATGATTTCTATGCAGGAGAATGCTACAGTTGTATCATCTGATCTGCAGCCATATGGTTTGGACTTTTAGGGGAAGAGAGGAGCTGATCTTTTGACTGACCACAATCTGGTATTGAGCTGGATCAGATGGCGGGGGGATGTGCTTTAGAGATCCGGTAGACCCAATTGTGGTGAGGGTTTTCTGGGAATGCCTGGCAGAAGAACTCGTTGGAAAAATCTTTAACTCACACCTTCAGGAGAACTTTAACCACATCCCAGCCAAGGCAGGAACATTGAGTTCGAGTGGGCTCCTGAGTTGTCTGGGCAGCTGCCTTGAGCTGTGGCCACAAGGTTGTGATTGCTTCTTGAGGTAACCATCCTCAACTCTGCAATGGACACTGCAGGAAAGGGAGGCTGTCAAGCTGAAGGTGTATTTTTGTGCCCTGTTGGCTGGTAGGACTTTGGAGGTAGCTATGGAGTATTGGCAGACTAAACAAACTGCACCCTTGGCTGTTGCTGAGACAAAATCTCAGATATGAGAGGAGTTTTATTAGGCCTTGGATAACAAATCTCAATTGGCTTTGAGGAGATTCTGGCAAACCATCCAGTTGACCTCAACCAACGATGTTGAGATTGAAGGAGTACTTTGCAGACCTTCTCAATCCCATCAGCACCTCTTTCATGGGGGAAGCTGAGCCTGGGGATATTGCAGCCCATTCTCACTCCCAACTTGTCACATATTGACGCTTTTCCAAGGTTCCCTCTGTGTCCGGTTTTGACACATCGGGTACCCCCTAGCATCAGTTATTGACACACTAGGCATTTCCGGGTTCCCTCAGCATCTGGTTTTGACATGTCGGGACACAAAATATAGGGGTCTTTGAGTTGGGGTCCATGGTTAATATTAGGGATCAGGGTTCATGGTTAATTTTAGGTAGTGGGGTCAGGGATAGGATGTCTAGGGTGAATATTAGATAATTTTAGGGTTTGGGACATGTAGTTGACGTGAATTTCCTACACTTTCTAAAAATGGTTAATTTTAGGGATCAGGGTTAATGGTTAATTTTAGGTACTAGGGTCAGGGACAAGATGTCTAGAGCGAATAAAAGTAATTTTAGTCTTTGGGACAGTTAGTTTTTTTTGCATTTTCAACATTTTCTGCAAATTATGACAATGGATTCTGCCTCATCTAGTCAATAACTACCCTCACACAACTTTTGGGTAGTGACCGAAAGATCAAGATTGCGGGTACAGTTGGTTAAAACAAGTTTTCTCTGCAGGGTAGCTGAACTCTTTCTTAGAGACTGTGTGAGAAGTTCAATTATCCGGGACTTAGGATAGACTTAGAGTAGAGTCCCTGGTTCTCCACATAGAGAGGAGCCAGTTGAGTTGGCTCTTGGACACCTCCCTAGGGAGATGCTTCAGGCATGTCCCACTGGGAGTAGACCCAGAGGAAAACCTAGGACATGCTGGAGAGACTATGTCTCTCGACTGGCCTGGAAATGCCTTGGAAACCCCCCAGAAGAGCTAGAAGAGATGAGTGGGGAAAAAGAGATCTAGGCCTACCTGCTCAAACTGCTGCCCCCACAACTCGACTCTGGAACAAGCGGTAGATAATGGATGGAAAAGTACATTATAATACTGGCAGCTGTATTTACCAGAACTGTGTTATAAAAAATAAAGATGAGGTACGATCAAGAAATTATATTAGAAACCATAGCTTAGACAGCAGAGAGCTGTTCTTTGTTCATGGTGACTTACTGTCAGCACACTATATTCATTACGGTTCAAAAGCACAATCCAAAATCATAAACTTAAATCAACAACAAACCAAAAACACAAGATTTACAAGACACAAATAAAAGGAGGGAATTCAAAACATTCAAGGAAAAATAAGCTGTATTTCCAGCTTTTTATAGGTAGCGCAACCCCTGCTGGTTGCCGCATGACCTGTTCACCTTTTCCCCCGTTTTTTGTAATGTGTGTGTCTTCTTGAATAGGTGTTCTTAAATGTAATTTCATTGTGCTCCGTACATTGACAACAAAGACATCATCATCATCATCATAATCCTCAAAACGGTTTTATCTTAGGTTTTGTTCATTTGTTTTTGCAGCAGTAAAATGATTAGCTTTTTTACACTGTTGCTAATTTCTTATTGTCTTGTAGTGAGCAAATATTTGGGCTGTTTGTGTCACCTCTCTGTCACTGAGTATGCGTTTACACATGTTGACATGACTGTGTGTTTTGTGTACTATTGATACCAAACAGAGGAGATGTCTGCTGTGAATTCAAGACCTCAGATTTATAACTGCCGCTCATCGAACATGGAGGACTTCACCTGCAGGTGGCATCCGCTCAGCAACCTGACAGGTGACAACGAGGTCACCTACGTCCTCATCTACTCCAAGGAGTGCGTACCACACACACACACACACCCACACACACACAGACACACACACACACAGACACACACACACACACACACACACACAC